AGGTGCAACAAGACCCTCTTTCCAACACCAAATATGTCTCAACTCTTCTAACTGGCATTGTTCCTGATGGGAAATCTTCTAATGACCATCCTATTCAAACATTTGTTGTCTCAAATGAAGAACATCATACCCAAGTCGTTCCACCCCTGAATAATTTGGAATGACAAAATTAAGCGAAAAAGAGTCGCAAAGCATCATGACCACGCCACATATCGAAACAGAGCGGCGCGACCATGCCGCATTTGGCATGACCACGCCGACTTGGACAGACCAATGGCATGACCACGCAGTTGTCGGGCGTGACCACGCCATCCTAGGGTCCAATGGCAGGACCACACATGATTGGGCGTGACCACGCCAATGAGCGAGAAAACACTTTAGGAAGAAAATTTGATGACCCAAGCCGTGATTCTTGATATAAAAGTGATTTTTAGGGCTTCATGGAGGGAGTTTTGTATTCATGAGCTATTGTAGGCGGCTAGAAGTAAGATTTCGAGAGAAATTAGGGAGTTTTCCTCAAGGTCTTCTTCTTCCTTTGGTAGAAAACTTGTAAGGTTAGAGTTCTTGTATTTTGTGAGTTTTAAGAGATTTATATGAGAGGAAGAAGTGTTGCAACTGTGGAAAAAACAATTTCTTATAAGTTTTACATGTTTTGTTTCTTGCAATGAACCTGTATCATTTTCTATGCTATGGTTTTCTCGACAATGCGTGGCTAACTTCGTTCTTCGTGTCTCTATGATGTAGGGGGAGCGACTTTAATCGTGTTTTTTTCCGTAATAATTACCCGTTAGCATTTTCTTGTGCTTTCATGGCCAAAGTTGTTGGTTAACCTCTGAACTTAGTTTCGTGAAGCTATGACCTCTAACCATTATATAGTGAAAACGAATGATTAATGACAGAATTCCGAGAAGATAGGCATATATCAATGGAAATCTATAATCATCTTACGGGATCGGAACAGTTACGCAGAATTAGGGCTGTCAAAACGGCTCGTTGTTCGCGAACAGCTCGTGTCCGGCTCGTTAAGAAGCTCATGTTCGGCTCGTTCACTAAGTTAACGAGCCGAACACGAACAACACGAATAAATATTTGTTTGTTCGTGTTCGGCTTGTTTTGGCTCGAAATACTATTAATCAATTATATATATGTATATATATATATATATATATATATCAACCTTTTCTCTAGTGCTCGACGACAAACTTCCCGCACTCGACGACGACGACAAAGGGCTCTGCGTTCGTCGTCTTCCCTTTTGTGACATACGACGAAGGGCTTCGGCACTGTTTCCCTCTTCAAGCTCCTTTTTCGAGCAGCGATTTCATCTGGTCTGCGGTTCTTTCCTGCGTCTCTCTGCTCGCTTCTATTCGCAGAAGAGAACGTCTGTCTGCTCGCTTCCTGCCCGACTAAAGGTTTCCTGTTCGCCTGTTTGCTCGCTTCCTGCCCGCCAGACTATTTCTCTCCTGTCTTGTGAGGGAGATGGTCTCGACGCTCCGTTCCTATACAAATGCTCTTGACGGCGATTTTCCTGCTTGTGCCCCTCCTCCAAGTTTAACGTCTGGTTTTGCTATCGGTAAGTCCTACAATGTTCTAGAATCTTTCCATAAGGTTCTTGAAGGTAGAGGTGATCACACTTTTATTAAAAAGCTTGGAAAAAAATGGGAAGTCTGCACTTATTCTCACAGAGGTTGAAACCGGTACTCTCGCGTCCTCATGGCGTTTCTCTCTAGTGGGGAAATTCCTTTATGGTCACCCAAAACTGGAGATCATTAGGAAGGAGTATGATACTATGAAACTATTGGGCAGTTGGAACATTGGCCTACTTGACGGTAAACATATACTTATTCAGTTATCTCATGATGTTGATTACACTCGCATTTTCTCGCTATCAGCTATCAAGATTGACAATCATTTTATGAAAATTATGAAGTGGACTATAAGTGGACTGTTGGTTTTGATCCAAAAGCGGAGAAATTTCAAAATATAACTTGAAAAATCATCATACTTCTTTGATGGAATTAAAATTACACCGGGATTAAAATTACACCTGTTCAACATGAAAATCCTCTACTTTTTAGCAATTGCTTACGGTAAGTCTCTCAAGATGGATAGTCCTACATTTGCTGTCATAAACCCTCTGTTGTTTGTGTGTTAGTTGAGAGAGATATCACTCAACCAGCTCCGGATGAGATATGGATTGACACTACGCACAACGGGTATTAGCAAAAATTTGAAATGGAACCACATCCTTCTTATTGCACTCATTATAGTATATTTGGCCACAGCTCTACTACTTGCGATCGTTTGCATCCTCATCTAAAGACCGAATATCGCTAAAGAACAGCCACCTACTATCTCTGCTGAGAAGACGCAACCTGATCCTCTTCCCAACACTGCAGTTCCTGAAGAAAAATAACATACTACAGCTACAGATCGAGTTGTGATTATATCACCCACTGTTATTGAAGAAGACTCACTCACATGTCAAGACACACGAGAGTGCTCCTTTGATCCAATAACAGATCAGTCGGTACAACATGTAGTTGGTTCTAATGTCCAACAATCTGCACATCTCCAACACACATTAGACCAAGATCAGGTGAGTCAATCTTCGGAAGAGGAATGACAGGTTTATTCCAGAAGGAAGAAGAAGAATGGAGGCCCTCCAGCTCGGGAACATACTGGATGATACATTAGTTACTACTAGCAATGGCAATCATCTTACCCGCTTATTTTTCCTAGAACCAGAGGCAGAGGCAAAACCAAATTGGATTGCTCTCTAGCCACTGATACTATGTATGCATTTTTAAACCTTTTCTTTATGTCTCTAATGTACTTTTCAGTATTTTCTAGTTGTGGAACCACTTGTGGTTTTGTTATGAGCAGGGTGCCATATTTGGGCCCTCCATCACATTGTATCTGTATCTTTCTCTCCTCTAGTTTATATATAAGTTTTTTTGGGCTTTCATATATATATATATATATATATAAATATATATTTGATGAGTAGTATTTTAAAAAAGTTTAATTAACTACAAGGCTATAAAGATTTATAATCAATTAAAAGTATTAATTAAGAAAATAGAATAAAAATTATTAAATTAGATTCAAATGATGTTTTAAATCTTGCCCCAATCCTTAACATCTTATGGCTACGTGATTAAGGTTGTCAAAATGACTCTTTGTTCGTGAATGGCTCGTGTTCGGCTCGCTAAGCAAACGAGTCGAACACGAACACAGCTGAGCCTGGGCTTGCTCGTGTTCAGCTCATTTGCACTCCTACGCAGAATGTCATGAGCATTGAGCAAGTCTCAACGTCATGGATTATAGACCTCTTTTGTCCTAAAAATAGACATAAGGAATACTATATCTCCGATTTACAACTATCATGTAGGAGAATATTTTGGAAAATCATGATCATCATGATCCTGGAATCACAGAAAAGTGAGCCTCATAAATCTTGAAGGAACTCATAAAAGTTTTTTTGCTATTTTTTTTCTGTTGTATGCTAATTTCTCTGTTTGCTAGAGTCTTACAAATTAAAACCCCTTTTGCAAACTCGCAGAGCTAAGTAACTAAATTAGTAAAATAGAGCTTTTTCTGTTGAAACAAATTGCTAACTTTCCTTATGGGATTGATACGTGGACCTTAGACTGTATACTACTTACCACGTGCACTTGCATCGTACGGTCACTTCAAAATAAGTTTTGACGTGTCACAGACATAGCACTTAAATTCCTCCCCCTCCATGTTGGAAATGGGGTTTGATTTGTGTAGTATTGGAAAGGACAATTCCATAACATTCTTTTAGATTTAAGTGTCCTAATAACCTCAAAATTTAACGATCTTAGTCTCGTTTGATTTATAATTGAGATGCTCAATTTAACTATAAGCATGCCAAATTTTAAAATCATGACCTTTCAATTAATGTTTCAACTTAATTATAGCTCGTGTAAGCTCATGTTAGATTGTTTTTAGTGTTGTTCTTGTCTTGTCCAGATGTTCAGTTGACTATAAAATTGCAAAAATTAGAGTCTGGATGACAAGTTTGAATCTCACAATTACCCTAATATGCATTGAGTTTAGTGCCTGATCATGTAGTTTTTTTTTGTGACATCAATATTAAATGCGGTCTATAACTCAGGAACCTTAGTGTAAAATAACTCGTACATTTTCTTTTGACTGTCTTGCATCCTTATTAGAAATTTATTAAAATTGCTTTTTCTTTTCATTTATGATGCAATTCAGTATATGCGTCCGCATTAGAAAAACTTGTACCTTGATACAATTGTGATGTCAGTATATGTGTCAGCATTAGAAAAGCCTGTACCTTGATACATACTACATAAGAAATTATGTGATATGGAACTATTTATCATAATTATAAACAAAAGAGAAACAAGACATATCCATGATCAAGTTGGAAAGCTGTTTAAGATCTTGATGGGCATCTGAATCAAAAAACATGGAGTAAATGCTTAGACATATTAATTTTTTTGTGACATCAATATTAAATGTGGTCTATAACTCAGGAACCTTAGTGTAAAATAACTCGTACATTTTCTTTTGACAGTCTTGCATCCTTACTAGAAATTTATTAAAATTGCTTTTTCTTTTCATTTATGATGCAATTCAGTATATGCGTCCGCATTAGAAAAACTTGTACCTTGATACGTACTATATAAGAAATTGTGATGTCAGTATATGTGTCAGCATTAGAAAAGCCTGTACCTTGATACATACTACATAAGAAATTATGTGATATGGAACTATTTATCATAATTATAAACAAAAGAGAAACAAGACATATCCATGATCCAGTTGGAAAGCTCTTTAAGATCTTGCTGGGCATCTAAATCAAAAAAATAGTATATGCTTAGAAATATCATCCAAATGATGCATGGAACAAATACCAACATCAATACACGAGGAAAAATCCATGAAAGAAAATTTTATCTCCATGAGGTGATGCAACATTCACAAATACAAAACTACTTTACCTGGAATTGGATGGACACCCAACCATGCGTTTGGTGGCAACAAAGACTGAACGTTTTCAAAAGGATGTCCAGAAGCTTTTCGTTCTAAAACTTCACGAAAACCTTTGAAGTGATTAACGAACTTGTTAAAGCGCTTATTTACCCAAGGTCAAAATTTGCTTGCAACTAAGAAATAAAAGCAGGCAAAAAGGAATACCTTTTTTGAACTTGGGGCTTATCTTTTGAAGCAAACCAACTAGTGTGCTAGCCTCGTGTGCTGTTTTAGCTAGTTTTGGATCAAATATGTTTCCTGTGCTCGAATTCACATAGAAACCCTTAGTTGTACCGCTGATGCAAAGCTCGGTACCTTCCAGAATTTTAATGTCGACATATATCAAATCTCCAACTAACCTGAATTAAATAATAATAAAACTGGTAAACAATGGATATTTTTAAAAATAAGCAAAGGACAAAAGAATTGATCATGAGAACGAAGGAGAGTACGCTGGCTGTCAAATTTATTACTGACTGGTTTAATAAAAATACAACAAATGCATATTGCTAAATTTTAAAAAAAAAATGAAGGAGGATTAACATATATACCACATAATTCTTATGTACATGAATTTTAATACTTACCAATATAACACTCAAAACTCTAACATCACATCAAAAATATCAATAATATCACCTCAGCAACAGGAACAACGTATCTCAAAAAGCACATTTGCAGTGTAAGAAAATGGCGCTTCTTCGGATGACCATATAACTGCTCAGCTCGGAAAACGTCAGACTTATCTCAAATGTTGTAAGTGCTCCTCCTCTAAACTATTGTACACCAGGATGTCATCAAAATATAGAACCACAAATTTTCCAATGAAGGCTCGAAAAACCTGATTTATCAACCATATGAAAGTGGTAGGACATTGAACAAGCCAAAGGGCATGACTGTCCACCCATACAAGTTGTCTTCCATTCCTCCACTATCATCATCCTGATCTGATGATACCCACTGCGTAGATCACTCTTGGGGAAAAGACTGGCTCATTGCAACTAATCAAGTAAATCATCCAGTCAAAGAGAAGGAAATTTGTACTTAATTGTGATCTTGTTCACAGCCTTATTATCCATGCACATGCACCACGATCCATCTTTTTTGGGCATGATCAAAGCTGATACAGCACATGGACCGGTGCTCTTGCAAACTAGTCCTTGGGGGACCATCAAATCCTCGACATTCTTTTATAGCTTCTCATACTCTTACTGTTGCATTAGGTAGGTTGGTCGGTTGGAGACCATTAATCCTGTGATAAGGTCTCTGGCATATTGAATTTCTTATAAAGATGGTAATACAAGTGGCATAATATCCGTCAAAACATCTTAAAAGTCTGCTAGCATGGGTCTCGCTGCCTCAAGTACTGGCTCCCCATATCACTATCTTCTAGCATCACAAAGACCAATCTCACTGGGCCTACAAAAATGTAGCATGATAGCTACTACAAAAATGATTCCTCCTTCTCCTAACCTCCCAACTTTAAAGAAGACCGCTCGCAGCAAAGCGGGATATCCTCCCTATCTTTTTGGGTGGGAACATACATTGTTAACTTTGTTTCATATTCTAGCATGTCGCGTTTGCATGGAGCATTCATTGCATATTTGGACAATGACGCTATACCCAAGTGTTGACAAGTTGCAAAAGAGGATCACAAATAGAAAGCGACTATGCATGAAGAGCTTAGGGCTCTCGGTAAAGACTGAACATGGGAGATAGAGTCATTACCAGCGGAAAAAAAAAAGACAATTGGGTGCAAGTGGATCTTCTTAGTGAAGCAAACTCCAGAAAAGAAGTTGGAGCGATACAAAGCGCGTTGGTGGCAAAAGGGTACAGTCAGACATATGGTTATGATGAAATAGTTGCACTTGTAACAAACATAAACACAGTGAGAACATCGGTTTCTCTAGCAGTGAATGGTGACTGTAGGTTACACCAACTTGAAGTGAAGAATGCAATTCTTCATGGTGAGTTCTTGGAGGAGGTACATATGGAGATACCATCAGAATTCAATACAATCAAGTAGTGGGCAAGATATGTAAGCTCAAGAAGTCACTATACTGCTTGAAGGGATCTTCTCGAGCCCGGTTTGATAAGTTTAGAAAGGCTATGGTGGGCATGAGATATCAGCAAATCATACGGAGTTCTTTCGACAACATGAAATCGCACCACTATACTTGTTGTATATGTTGATGACATCATTGTCACCAATGATGATGAGGCAAAGATTATCCAACTAAATATAAGATTGGGAAATGAATTTGTAGTGAAGGATCTTGGACAACTAAACTACTTTCTTGGGATTTAAGTGACCCATGGACCTGAGGGAATGGATTTATCTCAAAAGAAATATGCCCTGGATCTCCTCACGAAAATAGGTTGTTACGGTGAAAACATTTAGTCTCTCCAACCGATCAGAAGATCAAGCTGAGTGCAGAGGTATGAGAACCGGTTAATCGTGAGATGTACCAAAGATAGGTGGGTTGTATGATTTATTTATGCCTCACTTGACCTGATATCTCTTTTGCAAAGAGCGAGGTGAACCGCTACAAGAATGATCCAAGGAAGAGACATGTATGTAGTGTCTCGGGTTATGAGATACCTGAAGAGTGCACTAGGGAAGATATTGATCTTCAAGAAACATTGAGGGATTTGTGATGCTGACTGGGCGAGTTGTGCATATGACAAAAGATCCACCTCAGGATACTGCATGTTTGTAGGAGTCAACTTGGTCGCTTGGAATAGCAAGAAATTCTATGGCAATGAGACCAACAGTCGAGGCAAAGTACAGGGCCATGACCTTAAGAGTTGTCGAGATGACGTAGCTGAGAGCCTTGTTGATCGAGCTCAAGGTAGAACAAGGAACTCAAATGAAATTGTGGTGTGACAACAAGTGAGCAATCATCATGCCAACAATTAGGTGCAACATGATAGAGCCAAATACGTGGAGATTGATAGTTTCATCATAAAGGAAAAGCTGAATAACAGGCTACTAAAGCAAAGTCATGTTGTAACAGGAGAGCAAGTGGATGACTGCCTCGCTAAAGGACTTAGTTCATTATATTTGTTTGGATTATGTGACAAGATGGGCTTGGTGGATATCATTTGCCCATTTTGAGAGGGAGTGTTGAGAATTGAACCTTATTTAACATTTTATTGGAAAAAAAGGGAATATCAAAGAAGTCTAGGGGTGTATTTGTAAAATATTGCATTACTCTATTTAAGCCCATGTTATGAATGTTCAAAGTAGGTTTTGAACAATTCATTCTTTTTAAAAGTTCCTTCTAAAATTGAAGAGGAATAATTATTTTTTTCCTTTTCACAAAAACTACATGGTATCAGAGATTTTGCCAAGAACGACTCTCATTATAGTAAACTTAGTGACGCCAATCGTCAAAGCTTCGGCTTTCTCTCACTCTCGACCAAACATTCTACTCTCAACCGAACACAACCAAAATTGCTATGAAGCTCCCTGCAAAGAACACGCGATCATGAGGACTCTTGCAAAGTGTTAATCACTACATGATAGCTCCTCGAATACGCTATGAAAGTGCAATCGAAGAGATAACTTCTCAAGATAGCCATTGCTTCTGTTTTTTCCATCACAGCCGAAAGCATGATTATGCTCCCATCACGATCGAACACGCAATCAAAGCTATTGTTAATGCATTTTTCCTCGAGGTAGCCACTAATTGTCCATTCTCCCTCGATGTAACCACTACTCATGTGTTTTCTCCCTCAATTCAAATGATGTCGTATAAGTCAACGATGATGACCTTAGTCCAAACCTATTAAATCTCCTATGCTTGCTCTAGTAATGTTGAAACCACTTCGCCTCACCCTATAGCCTCCCTCAAGCTTGTATCTATTGATTATTATTCCCATAATTCATACCCTTATCTCACAATTATAAAACTCAATAGGCACAACTATCTCAATTGAGCTCAATCCATAGAATTGACAATTGAGGCAAAATTGGGCAATTAACATGTGAAATTTCAAAACATGTTGTCGGTGACCAAATTTGGAAAAATAGCAGTCTGAAAACTATCTTATTATAGCTTGGCTCATCAACTCCATGAAACTTGTCATCGCAAAGTCTCACATAATTCTTCCCATTGTTGAAAATATTTGGGAGGCCATTCAAGATCTTTAAATAGAACTTGAGAATTCTTCCCAAATTTTTGAGTTGAAAACTCAATTTTGAAAATCCAAACAGAATAAATGTAATGTTAATACTTGTTACAATGAGTTAGTAACAATATGACAGGATTTTGATCAATGTTATGATAATGTTTGGGAGAATGTGAAGGACTATGCTCGCCATAAGAAAAAAATAAACCCATCAGACCAATATGATTTTAATTAGTCTTCATTGGAGTTTAGAAGAAGTCGGAGGTCGCATTCTCGATAGGAAACCATTGCCCTCTATGCGAGAAGTTTTTTTTTTTTTTTTTTTTTTTTTTGATTTATGTTAGATGTGAAGAATCAGAAAGAAAATTCATGTTGTGCAACACCAAACCTCCTTTTAACACTGAACATGAGACCTCGGCTCTTGTGTCAAAAAATGTTGATACTGACAAAGAATGGCGTGCAAATCATAATGCAAACATTGCAAAAAAAACATCATATGAATTAGAAATGTTGAAAGCTTTATAATAAACCTGCAAATTAAAAAATAACAACAAAACAAAAAGGCTGAGTTTAAGAAACCATGAAGCCTTCTACATACTTAAATGCAGTCGTTTTTACCAAGGAACAATTAAAGCACATATAAAAATTGTCTCACTATCCAAAATTATCTTCGACTCTGTCTCGCTTTTCAACACAAGGGTAACACTCTATGCATTGTTAGGTTTTATTTCTAATTCTATTCATCATTAAATAATTGATATATAACTAGTTACTCTAAATTATTCTCATTCTACAAACCATTTGTAGGGAATAAAAAAGTCAAATTTACTGATGACTCCCTCTCGGTAATTGTCGAGATAAAGACTGTCAGACTCGTCTGTTGTTAGCTCTTCGCAATGTGCTCCAAATATCCCAATTTATATTGCAACATGTTGTTCATTAATAAAATTGTCTTCGAAAATAGTTGATTTCTACCCTATTGTTGAGTTTATGGAATTTACCACTAGAATTATGATCGGCAATACTAAAGAAAAAAAATGGATTTAATTATTTTAAAGATGGACTTAACTCGAATAGATAATATCAAAGTACTTATTTAAATTTTATTTTTGTTTTCAAGGATAATGATATTATGTTATGTCAATAAAAATTATGTCAACCTAATTTTTAATATTTAAAATACTTATTTTTTAATTTTTTTAGAAAATAAATGTCATCATTTTAATGTAAGTTTGTCATTTTGTTAAACATCATTGTGCATCTTTTCCTCTCCAAGTTTACAAACCAACTACACTATTTACTCTGATTCATAATGATGTTTTGGGTTCTCATAATACAATTATTCTGAGAAAAATGCTATGAATTTTATATATGATCACAGATAAGTAAAATGGGTTAATTAAGGAAAGTAATTTGAAATAAAAACAACTTTCAAAAACTTTTTCACCATGTTACTGACACAACTTTAAAAATTATATAACTATTACGAAGTAAAAATAGCCAAGAATGTAATTCAAAAAGATTTTGGGCCAATTTTCTTTGAAAAAAGAATAGTTCATCAAAGTTTTTGTGTCAACACTCTACAACAAAATAGTATGGCTGAAAAAAAGTAAACACTTACTGAAAGTAACTCGGGCAGTATTGTTACTAAACATGTGTAAAATATCTTTGGAGCAAAATCAAGCTTAGTACTAAATTTTTCATGAATAGAACACCAAATAAGATTTTAACTCTGAAACACCTTGTCATGTTTTTCATAAAACATATCCAACAAATTGGTTCTCATCTTTTTGCTTTAAGGATATTTGGATGTATTGTATTTGTTCACATTTATAATCATAATCAAGAAAAACTTGAACTCCAAGCCAAAAAGAGTTTGTTAGTTATGCTCTCACCCAAAAATAATATAAATATTTTGATCATATTTCTAAAAAAATATTTGTTTTCATGAATGACATTTTTTTTTAATGACAACTCTTCTTTACGCCTCTTCTTCAATGAGGGGACAAAAATATAAATTTGATTACAATTTTCAAAATCCTTTTCAAATCATAGGAGAAAGTGGATCGAGTCATTAAGATATCAAAGATAATTTAAGTCTTCCTAAAGTGTCATCTCATGATATTCATTATCCTATAACAACTACAAAAAAAGAACTATGACATTGATAACATTTGATATTTTCTACTTGAGCCAGAGGAAAACTCAGAAAAAAAATAGTCTATGAATTATTTGTACTACCTAGAATCCGTGAAGTAATGTCCTCACTAAGCCTTTACTTTATTGCATGTTTAGTCCACTTTATTTTTAAGTTTTGCATCTTCTAGTCCTGAACTTGAGTCGAGTTCTAATCTTAAGTTTCATAATTCTAATGTTTTCATTGCTGCTTGTTAGAGGGTGAAGTCTTGCACTGAATGTCCATTGTCCTATGAAAATTTCTCGCCTATTTTTTATATTTTTACCTCACAATTATCTTATATGGAGATTTCTAATATTATGCAGGGTGCTTTAAAAGTTCTTAAGTGAAATGAGTTTGTCTTCGAGGAGATGAAAGCTCTTGAAAAAAATGACACATAAAAATTACTTCATCTACTTAGATAGAAGACAACTGTAGGGTGCAAATGGGTGCTTATATTCAAATATAATTATGACGGCTCTCTAGTATAGTATAAGGCTCAACTAGTTGCCAAAAGATTCGCTAAGACCTATGGTGGGATTTATTTAGTGACATCCGCCCAATCGCAAAAGAAAACTTCAAGAAAACTCTTTTGTCACTTGCAGCAAATCTTGACAGGGGCCTCTGACAGTTGAATATAAAAAAAACATTCCTCAATTGGGAATTAAAGGAAGAAGTGTGCATGAATGTAGCTCGAAGATTTAGTAAGAAGTTTGACACAAAGGTGTGTAAGCTAAAAAAATTCCTTATACTGATTGAAGCAATCATCGAAAGTGTGGTTTAAGAAATTTACTCTGTTTGTTAAGGGTCAAGTGTTAAGAGATCATACAATGTTCTTTAGACATTTAAAAGATGGGAAAATAGTCGTAATGATTGTTTATATAGACAATATAATTCTTATCGGATATGATATATGACATAAATCGTTTGAGAGACTTCTCTTTCATCAGCCTTTGAGACCAAGGATTTAGGATTTTTGAGATTTCTCCTTGGCATCAAGATTGCTCGATCGAAGAAAGGGATCCTTATTTCCCAACAGAAGTGTGTATTTGATCTTTTTTAAGAAAATTGAGGTGAGTGTAGGTCAGCAGACACTCCGGTTGATCTCAATTAGAAATTAGGAGATGGGAAGGAAGATGATCTAGTGAATACATTTTCGTACCAAAAATTGATGAGCAAGTTAATACATTTATCACATACACAACAAGATATTATTTTGACTTAGTCTGGTAAATCAATTTACGCATTTTTCCTATGAGAAACACCCTAAAGAAGTTAATAGGATTCTCAAATATCTAAAAAGCACACCAGATAAGGGCTTACTCTTTCAAAAAGCCACACAACAGGATATAGAAGCATACACTGATACAAAATAGGCGGGTTGAGTTATTGACAAGAGATCAACATATGAATATTATACTTTATCTAAGAAAATCTAATTATATGATGAAGTAAGAAACAAAATGTGTTTGTGAGGGATAGTGCCAAGACAAAATAAAGACTACGGCTAATGGAGTATGTGAAATGTTATGGTTGAAGGGAATTCTTGAACAGCCACATATCCCAATAAACATGTCAATGAGTAGTATTGTGATAACAAAGTTGTCATAAGTATTACAAAAATCCCAATGCAACATGATCGCACAAAACATGTGGAGATTGACAGGCACTTCATTCCCGAAATTTCTTTTTTTTTTTTTTTTTGGGAAAACTCAAGCTAAGAGTTCACGGCCATTCATAATTGTCAAGAGAATTAATGACAACACATACAAGATTGACTTGCCCAAGAACTATAACATTTATGCAACTTTTAATTTCGTTAATCTAATGGCGCGCTAAAAAGATTCAGGAGCTTACGGGGAATAAGCAAGCATCTCCTACCTAGAGAGAATTACGAGGGTGTCAATTTCTTGCAAACTACGGGAAGTGTTTCCACGTCCGCCTGGGACAGACATATGAAACAAAAAATCGAATGCAATTCTCTTTTATTTGGTCTCATCCATATATTCCAACCACTGATGGCTATGCCAACCCCTTAGGGTCTTAATTAACTTAATTAACATTAGTATTATGGTTAATTGCATCGAGAACTATATATTTCTTTGTTTTAGCTGGTTAAAATAGTTTTTTGGTTTTAATTTATACTAGTTTGACATTTCTTCTCAGATTTCTCTTCTTTGAGACAATGCAATTGTGCTCTTACAAGTGATGCATGTATCTTGTTAGAGCACATGTGGTGGATCCTTCTAACATTTGTACTGCTTCGTTTCTTGCTCTCGGGTCTAGTTTCCCTGCTGTCCTGCACATTACACAGCACTTGCTGCCTATTTCCCCTTATTTGTCGCTTTGGCAAATCAAATATTCAGCGCTTCTATGATCCTACACCATACCCAATACTTATTTTGATCCTATTACATCGTTTAGGTATTCTAGAAGGAAGTCAATAAGATTACTCCCTTCACATCGGGTAAAATCCTGTGCACAAAATTAACAAGTAATGCCTCCCTTTGTATGTTATGAATAATACAAAACCAATTATTTTCAACAGGGAAAAGAATAAATCACAGGGTCGTAAATAGAGAACTGCAAAACGTAAAATCAAAAGTTGAGAAGTAAAAGGCAGGTGACAAGTAACAAGGCAAAGATGGATCGCAGGGGAGATAAATAGAAGTTAAGCACCTTATCTAAAAAATCTGACTGTGGCAATTACCTGTTTCATCAAGAAGCTAATTCAATATTGCATAAATTTCTTACAATAGAAGCTACAAAAAGCGGACAGAATTAATAGAAAAACACTGAATTGCTAAGAACAAGGCAGAAAAGATGGGTTCTGACTAATAATATTAAGTTATAAAAACTTTTTTGAGTTCAAAAAAATAAATAAATAACATACACAATTATAACCATAAATCCTAAAGTTTAGAACCAAACCCAAGCGAACAATCGAACCACTAACAACCTTTAAATTCCAAAATTTTTAACAGTGTTGGATGATGAGCAATAATATTAGTTGAAGTAAAAAAATCAACAGTTTTGGTCCAACTAGTGAAATCACAAGTTGATTTTTAATGTAGTAAAAAATTTTAAACAGTCACAAATTCATAAATCATATCCTAATGTGTAGAACCCAGCTGAGTAATAAAGCCATAAATAACTTTTTAAATGACAAAAATAATTTTTAAAAATTTATTTTTTTTGAACGAATGATTTGAAAAGATGTCCAAGTTTCATAGTTGTTTTAATAAATGAACTGTTTGGATTCTGCTTTCGTAAAATAGCAAACCAAACTCATAACAGTACAGATTATAAGTCTAGTGATAGGAGATTAGTTTAAAGATGACGATAATCCAAAACTAATGGCCAATAAATCCAAGAGGGGTTGATTAAGAAGGAATTGTGCATTGTTAACAAATTAAAATGTTAATGTACCTTTTACAAGCTTCTCTTATGAAACAAAGTAGCCTAAATGAGAAAATACAATAAGCAAGCTAGAAAATAACAATAAATTTAGTTCATGGTGACCAAGCGCATAAGAAATCGTTTACTTTACACAAAATGAGCCGCAAGGAAAGCCTAAACTTCTGTGTCGGAGCAGTAGCAAAACAAGATAAAGATAGTAAAATATTAAGCAGCATTTACATACATACCACACAATTCCTATGTATTTACATATCTAACACCTAAACATTGCTTTCTACTTTTATACCACTCAAATCTTTCATATCACATCAAAAGTATTTTAACTTTTAAAAAGTGAAACACATTTCTCATGCAAACATAAGGTGGCATATATGTAAAAATTGACGTTCAGGTGTTAGATATGTAAATACAAAAGAATTGAGTGGTATGTATGTAAATCTTCAAAATATTAAAATTTGAATCCCTTCAAACAAGAAACCAATCTGAAGAGGGTAGTTTGCCTGACAGAACAGTTCAATATGTTCGTACCGTCTATAGCTCGGAGGAGGATTGAAAGAAGAAAAAGTAATGCTCTCTACACATTTAATATCCATAGGTGATGAGACCACAAAATTGCAGACAGAGCAAGAAACATCTTCCATGAATCCTAAAGCATCTAACTCTGGAGTATCCACTTTGACAGCATCTGCAGACCAAAGTAGCTTTAATTATAAAATAATAAAAAAATAACATATATAAAACCATTAATAAGTTGAAGCAAAAGCTAGGCAGGCATCCCATTCAACGCACTTCTTTACTCAAGAATCACAGTTGAAAGTATTAAAATGTGATATAAGAATATGCATCTTCATCAAAGGCAAGTATAAACCTGAAGACTTTTGTTGAGAATGTTCATGCTGCAAGGATAGTGATGTGGACAACGATGAATGATAATTGGAAAGAGAAATCAGATCTCGGGAACGACGAACATGAGATCTTATAGATCTATCATCATATAGAACTGCATAAATACTGACAAAAAATCAAACATTATCGGTTAATCATAATTATGCATGAGTCATAAATGAGAAAGCATACCTCCAAACATCTCTATGGAGCATCCACCAGTAGAAATGTCTGCAACTTCAGAGATTTTACTATAATCCCCTAACTGGTGAGGGGAGCCATCACTAGCGTGCAGGACTAAGTCATAGCAGGTATAGAAGCAAGTCTCTGGAGCATCAAGTAGAAACTGCCTGATGTCCATTACAGAATCTTCTGAGTTTAACTATACATTCAAACCCAAAGTTATGGTGGATAAAATTAGCAGCTCTTTAATGGAAAAGGCGACTAAAAAAAACAGGGGTACAAATAGAAGACATGACAAAAAACTCCACAAAGAAACTGCTGCGAGAGAAGGAAAAAAAGAAAAATAATAATCAATAATGTTAGCACTCAAATAAACCAAAAACACTCAGCTCTACATTCTCTTAATGGAAAAACAATGCTATCAGAGACAATACTAAAGAAGCTTGGGACAACCCTCTGTGCTCCCTGCTTCTGACTCTTTAAATACTCTTTAAATAATTAATAAGTAAATGTTTAGTATACAGCAACAACAACAACAAAGCCTTAATCCCACTACGTGGGGTCGGCTACATGAATCATTTCTCTCCATTGCGTCCTATTTAGTGTCATATTTAGTGTCAAATCTTCATTTAGCTCTACTAAATTAAGATCATTTATTACACAATAAGCATAAGCCCAAGTAACCTCTGTCTTTCTTAACATAAATCGAATCTAAAACATCTACTCTTCTAATCGGATAATCAGATGGTTTCTAATCGGATAATCAGATGGTCGACAATTAATGTGACCAAATCATCTAAGACGACTTTCTCTAATTTAGGGTTTAGGGTATAAAGAACAAAGTAAATTTTTAGTATAAAGTATAGAATTTAAAAACAGTTCACGTATAGACCATAAGAAATAATAAATAAATAAATGTTTAAGTATAAAGTATAAACTACAAAACTTTAAATTCAGTTCCCATATCTTGCAAAATCCTCCGAGTCTAGACTCCTCCCCTTTTGACTTTCATGCCGGCATTTAGCACAGGCTAGGGTCGAGGGAATGAGCAACCCCACCCCATGTGAAGATCAGCGACCTCGATGTCAAAGTTTCTTTACTTCTATAAACAAAGCTCGAGTGGCCACAATATGCTTTCTCTATTTATTTCTCCACGTTATGCCTGTTCTATGTTCGAAAAGTGTTCTATTTCTTCAATCATTTTTTTCTTCATACTTTCATCCAGCATATACTAGATAACATGGCCCAAGTTAGAAATGGGTGAAAACACTTAGGTTGTCAATTTAAGAAGCTATTCACATTCTTCTAGTCTCTTTGTTCCCTTTTTTAAATTCTTCTACAATTTTTTAATGATATAGCTAATTAAATTGTTATTTAGAAGGTTAAAAATTATGATTTGGTAACTTGAAATTTTATGTGTACGCTTCATTAATAAATATTGTTCTTTAAGTAGCTATCTTCTTATTTTCTTACAATTGTCTTGCCCTATCATGATTTATGAAATATTAAATAAGTTTTTACTGATTATGTTCGCATTCTTAAATATCATGATTGTTTGGTATCCTTATAATGTTAGAATATGTTGTGTAAATTCCATCAATTTGTACAAATAATGCATAAAGATGGAGAAACTATATTCTATTATTCCATCATATTAAAATTACAGCATTGTCCGTTATTATATGAGAAATGTCTAGGACAAACATAATTAAGGCTATTACAACTCGCCAAATATTAAAAAAACAAAAAAAGAAAGGCATACATTCTAATAAGAAACAGAATAAAAATGAATAAAATTGAAATAGGCTTCCACAAATTAATCACATGAGGCCCATATGACAGGCAATCTGGGCCAACTTTACAGGGACATAATTTCACGCTCCCCCACAAATTGGGTCATAAATTTTGTAAAGTTCCAGCATGGTATTCAAATCATTAAAGCTATCTAAAAGTAGGGATTTAGTGAAAACATATGTGACATGAAGATGTGTCGGAATGTAGATCAAGTGAACAATTCCATAATTGACCTTTTCAGAGATAAAATGCCTATAAATCTTAATGTGTTTGGTTTTGGCATGGTGCACAGAGTTCTTTCCAATACTAATGGCGGCTTGATTGACACGGGACATATTTATGGGATTGACTTTGGAGCATCTCAACTCATTCAGTAGCCTTTGGATCCACATTCCTTGACAAATTCAAAAAGAAATATTTCCACTCATACTCAGATAATGCATTACTACTAAAGACCAATATTTGTTTTTTACTTTTCCATGTGATAAGATTTCCCCATACATTTGAACAATACCCAAATGTGGATCTTCTGTCTAAGAGTTCTTCTCAGCTAGCATCAGTGTAAGCTTCTACTTTTTTGTTGTCTGATTTCTTAAACAATAACCCATCTACAAGGGTCTTCTTGAAAAACTTCAATATTTTGTAAATCATCTCAAAATATTTCTTCATTTAGACTATTCATATGATGACTCACAATGCTCACAAAGTAATAAATATCAAATCTAATATGATAGGTACTGAAGCGAGGCTGGTCCAGCTAAACCGGTCAGGGCTTAGCGGGATAGGGAAGATCAATCCGAGGTAGGAATTGCCACCCAAACCTTTCCCCCCTCCTTTTCATTTTCCGGCCAATCTATCCCTTATTAATATGTGTGTTTGTTGAGTCTACGGTTAAGCTCACAAAGTAAGCACTATCATATCTAATGTGACAGGTACTGACATGGGGCCGGTCCAACTAAATCGGTCAAGGCTTGGCGGGATAGGGACGGCCCATTAGAGGTGAGAATTGCCACCCAAAGTTTTCCTCCTTTTCGTTTTCCTACCTATCTATCCCCTATTAATATGTGTTTGTTTTCTAGATTTAAGATATGCTTTGTTTCAAATTTCTGCTTATAGGCTTCTCCCCTTGTTAGGGTTGTATCCGAGGATAAGTAGTGCTCCGGCTATATTCTGCTCCGAGGTGGTGACTATTCTTCTTTGATTTCCCCATACATTAGAACAATACCCAGATGTGGATCTTCTGTCTAAGAGTTCTCCTTTTCAACTAGCATCAGTGTAAGCTTCTACTTTTTTTTATATTTCTTAAACAATATCCCATTGTCAGGGGTCTTCTTAAGAAACCTCAATATTTTGTAAATCATCTCAAAATAATTCTTCGTTTAGACTATTCATATTATGACTCACAATGCTCACAAAGTAATCAATATCAGATCTAATATTACAGGTACTAACGCGAGGTTGGTCCAGTTGAACCGTTCAGGGCTTAGTGGGATAGGGACGATAAATCAGAGGTGGGAATTGCCACCCAAACCTTCCCCCTCCTTTTCGTTTTCCAACAAATCTATCCCCTATTAATATGTGTTTTTGTTGAGTCTAGGGTTAAGCACACAAAGTAAGCAATATCAGATCTAACGTAACAGGTACTGACATGGGGACGGTCCAAGTAAACTGGTCAAGGCTTAGCGGGATAAAGACGGTCCATTAGAGGTGGGAATTGCCACCCAAACCTTTCCTCCTTTTTGTTTTCCCACCTATCTATCCCCTATTAAGATGTGTTTGTTGTCTAGGGTTAAGCTATGTTTTGTTTCAGATTTTTGCATATAAGCCTCTCCCCCTAGTTAGGGTTGTATCTGAGGATAGGTAGTGCTCCGGCTATATCCTGCTCCGAGGTGACGACTATCTTTCTTTGATTTTCCCACCAGGGCTTCCCTACTTACCTAAAGTCATCAGCCAGTAGCTGTCTAATTGTCGGTATTTAATTTCCCCTTCGGCGCCCCCTTCCAAAACCAATCGCCAGCTATTTTACTGTCCCCTTTTATTCTCTTCAAGTAATTAGCCACCGACCCTCTCCCCTCCTTAATTCCCCCTTTCTCCTAACCGCCAATCCTACCTCCTTCCCCCACGTCTCCTATTGTAGCCATACCTGCAGCCCACTCTTCCCACGCCTCCATCAACAAACACCAAAAAATCTACCTCCCTTCCCCCTTTATTTAGACCACTATCCCCAATGTTGCCACATCCAAGTATCCACCTCCATCTCTAGCCTAATCCATCGCCTACCACCAAGCCGACACCTCTGCTTACAGATACCACTCCCCATCCCTAATCGGATCTTGATGTTTGTTGTGTTTTTCAATTCTATTTGGAGTCTTGATTGTAACCCTAGTTGTTTGCTTACTAATATTTGCTTTCGTTATTACAACTTGGTTAATTTTGGCATCATTTGGTATCAGAGCTAGGCAAATACTAGTCTTATCCTAAAGAAATTACCCTCGATTGTGATCTGCAGATTCGGAAGGTAGATAGGAACGAGGATCTGAATTTGTTCTACAAGGAAGACATCATCAGCGAAGAGAAATACCGGCCATGTCGCTTCAGAAGTCAATATCAGAGTAGGCCTAGAGAGGAGCCCAAATAAAGAGGACATAAGAACTTCGACCCCAAAATAGATCTACCAAAATTCGATGAGGTTATGGATCAAGATAAATTTATTGACTGACTGCAATATATTAAGCGAATCTTTGAATATAGGACATGCCAGAGGACAAGTGGGAGCAACCATCAAATTGAAAAAGAGTGCCTATTTGTGGTGGGGAAATTTACATATAAAGAGAGAAAGAGAAGGCATTGATAAGATTACAAAGTGGGAAAAGATGAAGAAAGCAATGCAGAAAAAATATATTCCACCTCATTAATGTCGTGACATGTTTCTGAGACTCCACCTTCTGCAGCATGAAGATATTTCAATGAAGAAGTTCACAACACAATTCGACCAGTTACAGATGAAATGTGAGTTGAACGAGAAAAATAAATACACTATAGTCTGATACATTGGGGGCCTGAAGCCCGCTATCAACAATGTTGTGCAATTACAGTCATACTAGTCACTTAGAGATGTTCAATCTTTAGAGTTGAAGGTGGAAAAAACAGAGCAAGCAACAAACTTCATTCAGACAGCAACCTTCATTCAGATAGTCACCTACAGCTAATGCAACCGATAAGGTACCTAGAGAGGAGTTAGCAAGATAGGACGAGAGAATGACAAAATAGATAAGAGTGAAAAAAAGCCAAAAAAAAAGGAAAAGCTCTTTTAGTACAGTACCATCCATAAGGGGTTTTAGATGCCACGGTTACGGAAACATAGCCTCCAACTGTCTCACAAGCTAAGTTTTCACATTCACATAT